TTGAAGTGGAGATCGCTAAACTGCAAGCTAACCGCTGTTTTCAGAAAGCAAGCGCGTTTATCCACAGTGGAGAGAGTGCGTGCACATGGTTGCCAGGTTGACAAAGATAAGTAACACACTTAGCAGATATTTCTGTATTGCGCAAGTGTAAAGCTCTGTTTCGGGGATTACGTCTCTTTATATCAGGCAACCCAGTTGTGTTCCTCTGTGGCCAGATTAAATCTTGTTGTAGCCTATATATGCTCTATTCATTCTTTTTTAGAAACCTCGCACTTTTCTACTCAATTTTAAACGTTGTAAAATTTTAAACAAATTAAGCGTGGTCCACTGCTGCACACGTGCCACAATATCGATACAGGGCCAGCTGTATCGATACTCGTATCGTCAAATCTCTGTGACGATACATCGTCGTATCGATATTTTGAACACAGCACTAGTATGGCTGAGGAATCCCATTCTGATGCGTTCATTCATTATAAGTCATTTCCGCCTAAAAAGAAGCTCTTTTGCCTGCTCAGTCCATTTCAGAAATATAATGGAAAACCCACCAGAACAGCTGAGGTACACATTTGTCCTCCCACCACACTCTCTCTCTTGCTCGGTTTCTCTCACACTCTTTCATTCTCTTTCTTTCAGGCTTGAGGCTTCAGGTATTTGCTTTGACCCACATCTCTTTTTTTCTCATCCTGAGTCAATACAAATTCAAACAATTAGAATGATTGGCACTTTCCCAATGCCCCTAAAGACGTCTGTTTCCTGTTCAAAGTCAGCAGAGATTTTAGTTAACTGGAAATGGTTAACTAAAGTGAAATGGTTCTTAAAAGGCCTCCTCTGAAAAAAAGATGTGGTTTTCTTTTACCTGGTGGCCCCTTAGTAATGTACAATTACTACATTACTCCACGCCGCTCGTGGAGTTAACCACTTAAACCTTCGCTCCTTAAGTGACGGGAATCCGGTAAACCTTTTCGTTCAATCTTCCCTATCTTGCCCTTCCTCTGTCTATTAGAACTTCTCCAACTTTGGGTGTTTTTCAGAGTTCGCTTAAAACTCATTTGTTTTCTCTAGCTTTTGACAATGTTTTTTAGCTGTGTATGATATTTGTTGTTACTATTATTATTTATGTATTTTTCTTTTATTTTACTATTATTATTTTTCATTTGTTTTTTATATTATTCTTATCATTCTTATTTTTTCCCCCCCTTATCTTTCTCTGTACAGCACTTTGGTTCCAGTCATGGTATTGAAAGTGCTTTATAAATAAAGTTTGAGTTGAGTTGAGTTGAGTACAATGGGAAAAAAAGAGTCTTAGAGCAGGTAGAATGAGGGTCTGCTGTGTGATCCATTAAATGTTAAAGGAATATTCTTGGTTATTTTCAACCTAATGTCTATGTACCACATTTGTGGCATGCTGGCGATTACTACAATAATTCTTAAGACTGTGCTGGTTGCGTTTTCCCAATGCAGTTACAATACTGTATACTTTGCAAATGCAAAGACTGAAAAAATTACAAAAGCACCTGTAAAAAGTATGAAAAAAAGAGCCACATGATTTATGTACTATATTTTAAATCTTATTCACTAACAATCTTAAAACCTGCACAAGCTGTACATGTTGCATTCATTAAAGATGTAGCAATGTCTGATTTGTGAATGAATCTTTTGAGTCAGATCTTCTCAATGATTAGGTTAATCCAGTTCACAAAAGCAGTTTGAATTAATTTCAATTTATTCTTAAATCTGACTTAGTGATCCGGAAAAATTATTTGAGTATTATGACTTAGAATTCAGAGGACTTGGAATTTAGTGCACAAGCCATATGTACCACTTTGATACTTTTGTTTTAATTCCTTTTTGAAACTTGAACGCTTCAGTGCATTGCATTGAAAATCACATCCTTCAGAATTTCTCTTTTCTGTTCAACTAAAGAAAGGAACTCATAGTGAGCTGAGTAAATAATGACAGAATTTTCAATTTTGGGGGCTGGTGAACTATTTCTTTAATGTTTTTTTTCCCTTTAATAATGGATACTAGTCAAAATGTGAATGTCTTCTCAGAGTCTCCTCAATTCTTTGGCCTGGATGAATGGAGAGACGTAACTTCTTGGCAACCGCAGCGCAGGAGACCGTAAAACCCGCTGAGATTTGTCAGTTTGCACCGTGCTGCTGCCCACAATGTAAGAAGTGAGAGAAAGAAAATGGCAGAGAGCTGCAAGACTCCTTTCAATCTATCACACTGACAGGGTTTTACACTGAATGGAGAGCTATGCACCAAATATTAACGGGTTCACATGGCTTGGCATTATCTGCACTAACATTCACTTTAGTATTCACTGTATGGCTGTGACCTTCTCATTATCTTGGGTTTCCTTCACCCATCCTTTTCATGTCTCATTCTCAGAGGCCATTTTGCATCCGATAATAATTCTAATTGAATAGCCACTCTGAATAATTCACCTGAAGGCTTGATATCACATTCAGTGGAACATTCCCTGAATCTTTTCAAATGCCATTTTGTTATACAGTTCCATTCAGTGGAGCTATGAGTTTCAGCCTTTGATTGTGCACTCTCAGAGCTGTTTTTCTCAGGAGGCCTTTCTGCTGTGCTACAGGTGCCCTCAGAAGAACGAGTGGCCCGTTTTAGGCTTTTGAACTCCTCCTCGAGCCTGGCTTGCTCTCCTACCCACCTCCACAACACTTTGTTGCACATGCATGTTCATGAGAGCCAACAAAGCAGCAGACTGAAACTTCATAGATGCTATTCTACTTCAAGACATAATGTTTTCAGTGTTTGATGGATAATACAGAGCTTGAAGGATTCCAAGAGGGTGACGTCTGTCTGCTGACACTAAGCCTGGAATTGTTTTTTGGCGGTGGGAATAGGCCAACCAATAGACCATTTCAGAAGCCATTACTCCAGTCTTCAGTGTCACATGAGTTTAGAAATCATAATATGCTTACATGATGCTCAAGAAACGTTATTATTATCAATATTGATAACAGTTGTGCTGCCTTATTTATTTATTTATTGCTGAAACCATGATCCATTTTTTAGAATTCTTTGAGAAATAGAAAGTTCAAAAGAATAGCATTTATTTGAAATAGAATTGTTTGGAACAACGTAGAAGTCTTTACTCTCACTTTTGAGTAGTGCTTCTTTTCTGAATAAAAGTTCATTTCTTTCATTTTTTTATTTCAGTAGATATTTCATCATCTTATATTCTTTAATTTCAGTCAATTTTACTCTGAAAATGGCATCTAATTTTCATCATATCTACGTTAATGTTGATGATTTTTAGACTACTACAAAAATCGGACAAATTGATCCAGGATTTCTTTTTCCTCGATGTAAATTGTTGCAATTAAAATAACCGCAATTACAGCACACTGACTTGTGTGGAATCAAACTAAATGATCTCCTTCATACTAATATATTTTCCTTTAAAGGCTTAAAAATAGCTCATTTTAAGATTTCCAGAGAAGAACTTTAGCAGCATACAGTCTGGCGAAATCAATATTGAGGGAGGGAGTAAGAAATCAAGGGTGCCTGTGGTTGGACAGATGATATCAAGAGCAAATAGTGTTTTTCCAGTGTGAGAGACTGAAAGCCAGGATGGGAGGAAAGTCAAAGTGGCTCATCTTTCTCCTGTCAAAAAGTCGGGAGGATTCTCCCACCACTGCCTTTGTTTTTTAATTCACTGCCAGCGCTGTGTCAAATAACATGGCTTTCATCTCGAGTGGCTCCTACCCTCCACTTTACAATTCTACCTTTGTGTTCACGCTTCAAATAAACCCTCTTTGTTCTGCTTTCCAACACTAAGAAATCTGCATCACTCAAGTATATTAACTGAGGACTATTACTGTCACACAGAACCTGCTCCCTGGGCTCTAGTAAAGACTCCCTTGACAAAACCCCCAGTCATGTTAATCCAAGCATTAATAAATGGAAAGATGTACACCTGTATTCAAATTGTGCTCTGGTGTTTCATCCTCAAATAAAAGGAACGGGATGGGGCGGGAGGTGTCGTGATCATAGATCTGCAGAAGTAACAGTATCACAGAGTATCACGTTTTTAGATCCGCCATTGTTCTGCTCTTCCCCTACGTGCGGTGAATGTCGTCATATTGAATCTGCAGTTAAAGAGGCTTTAACTGCTGAGCTAAATAAAGAGCTACAGGGGGTAAGGCTCTGGCGGGAACTGTAATGAAATGAATGCTGGGATATAACCCTTAATTCTCTCTATCAGACACATACATCTGCTCCTAATATAACAAGGAGTGCATCCAGCCTGCCAGCCTTTGCGTAAGATTGATATTTTGTTTATTGAAATACAGGAGTTTCTCTCGTCTTTTTGCACCCTTCCCTTTCCTGCTAATGTTCATAGGATTTGCCGATCAATCGCCTCTGACAGAATTAATATTCACTTGAATATCGAAAGGTTGAAGTCTTCATTCTTTCTTTTTTGGCATATAGGGGTGCGGATGTGACTTTGGCCTCTCCGACTAGCGGGGAAGGTGAGTTCTCAGCTGTTTGAGCCCACACCTCGTCTATCGCTAGCTGTAAAGAACGAGCAAAAATGTTATTGCTTTTTTCCATCACAGCGAAAATTACACTGCTTCTCTCCGAGAACGAGCTGAATTTTCGCACTCCCAGTCCACTACTTCTGCAGTGCGGCCATCGATCCGAGCAGATAGGCGCGAGGAGACGGGGCTGGGTGGGAGGAAGTGAGTAAGCGTTCGAGAGATAGCAAAAAGGGAGAGAGTGAGGGAGAAAGGTTAAGTGTGCTTCTCGGCTGCTGGCCCGGAGGTTTGTTGGGGCTTTGCCACGCTGAGGTGCCCGGCTTGATTCCACTCCCATTTCATTTTGGAACGAAACAACCTTTGTCCTGCTGTCATTTCCCTCACTCACGCTCTGTGACCTGCCACTCACACCTGCCGTAATGAAAGCTGACACATCCGGATTTGCTCTTAAATTTGTGGATTTGAACGGAAGGCCTGCCAGTGTTTCTGAAACCCTATTTACATACTAATTAACTGGCTTAATTACTGAATTTTCAAATGATTAATATCATTATAATACTTAAGTACACCAAAAACACCAGATGGAGAACATACTGTGGCAGTTAGATTGAACAGAATGGTAAATAAACAGAAACAACAGTAGTATTTTAAAGAAAACCGTGATATAGTATTTTCAACCTATTCCCAGCTGGTTTTCACATATAGCTGATATAGAGATATTGTATCAGACACAACTTTTTTAGTTTTTTTTTGCTGAGGTAAACATTTTTTTATATATTATCCTGGGTTGAATGAGAGTTAGGAATTTATTTGTTTTCTGAATTTATTTATTTACTTATTTATTGAGAGAAAACGAGTTGCAGTGTATATGATATATGATTTTAGTGCCTACTTTAGTTTATTGTTTTTCAAATTTGACTTTTTTTGTGTAGTTTTTTTTATTCTATGGGATGTGGTTGGGATTTAGTTGCTGGTGGTCCTTCTCCTTTTCTCCCAAAATTATGCATGTGAAATATTGTACTACTGCACTGTATATTGATTCAAAATATTTCTTTTTGGAGTTGAATTGAGAATGCCATTTAATTTAATTCTTTACTGCAGTGAACAGTATGCAGAATTGCAGTTTCAGTTTAAATTTAATGAAGGAGACCTGAATGAATTAATCAACTTTTAAACTTTTGAAAAAAGTACAAATATATATATATATATATATATATCTATTCATCATATTTACTAAATTTTATGGACCAGGTTGGAAGAGCACTTTATTTACCAGAATGCTTTACCTGTTTCATTTTTATTTTTTTTTGGCAATTTAGTAAACTGCACTTCCTGTCTTTCAAGTTCAGCTGTCTGTGGATTACGGCAAATTCAATTCAAATTCATGAACCAATTCTTCAGTTCATAATTTCCAGTCAATACGGTTGCATGAAGTATATACCGCAGTATTTTGAATTATAATTTTTTTCTGTCACCTGTAGATAAAAAAAACCAAAAAAAAAAACCATGAGATATCTTGCTCATATTTATCTTTTCCCAAACCACCATTTTGGCTTGAAAACACAAGTCACATCTCCAATTGTTGGTGCTACTAGAGAGACAGATCCCCAGTGAAGACCTTGTCTCCTAGACGGACAAGACCACTGGAACCAGTTGAGTCCTCTGCACAATGTGACTTTGCTGCAGCCTGGAATTGAACTGCTGGTTTTGTCTGGCCTGAGGAGAACTGGCCCCCCGACTGAGCCTGGTTTCTCCCAAGGTTTTTTCTCCATTCTGTCACCAATGGAGTTTTGGTTTTTGCCGCTGTCGCCTCTGACTTGCTTAGTTGGGGACACTTAATTTCCAGCGATATCGTCGACTTGATTGCACAGATACTATTTAAACTGAACTGAGCTGGATGATGACATCACTGAATTCAATGATGAACTGCCTTTAACTGAAAATTTAGTGTTTACTATTGTCATTTTGCATTATTGACACACTATTTTCCTATTTAATGCTGTAAAGTTGCTTTGACACAATCTGTATTGTTAAAAGCGCTATATAAATAAAGGTGACTTGACTTGACTTAACCTCGCTTGCTCCCACGCACAGTACATCCTGATGGAATGGCCATTCGCCATGCTAAAGCAGGGAAGAGGGCGGATCAGCTTGGCATGTTAAAGCACCATAAATAAAATGCCATTGTGACCTGTTGCTCCGGAATAGCTTGCAAACAGAAATGGAGGGTGGGATTCATCAGCAGGCCCTCTGGTCAACACCACACTGTCATGACAGAATGGATAAATCTTAGTTGGCCCACTTGTGCCGTTCCAGTGTCATGCCTCAAGCTGAGTGGAGTAATGACAGTCTGTAACATCAGCTGCTGCCCCCTTCTCCAGGCCAGGTTCTCCTAATGCCACTCCGTCTCTGACCAGGGGCTTTCTGGCTCCACGCTTACTCTCATTCTGTCTGGATCCAGGCCGTAGTGGTAGTCTGTGGCTCACTTATATCAGAGAAGATCTTGTGAGGCAGGAACAGAAAGCCTAAATTTGTGGTTTATTGCAATACTTCAGCGCTGTCGGTGCAGATGTGTTAAGAGGTAGTTGATATGCAGTAGAAGCTTTGTTTCCCTGAGCACTCATACAGGAGCCAGCAATCTGTGCCAAGCTCCCTGTTGTCACCTTCTCAAGTGCACCACACATTGACAGTGTTTTTGCATTTCCATGCCTGCAGGAAATAAATTATACTGGAACAAAGTACTGTTCAAACTATTTTTATTTAATCTGAAGCATCTTTTAATCCATAAATAAAGCAGCGGATCACTTAAAGGGGTCATATGATGCGATTTCAATTTTTCCTTTCTCTTTGGAGTGTTACAAGCTCTTGGTGCATAAAGAAGATCTGTAAAGTTGCAAAGACTAAAGTCTCAAATCCAAAGAGATATTCTTTATAAAAGTTCAGAGTCAGCCACACCTACCTAAAACGGCTCGTTCTAACACGCCCCCACATATCTACCTCACTATGTGGGAAGATTTGCATAACGCCGCCCAAATGTTCACGCAAAGAAAGAAGGCGTAACTTTTAGTCTCACTGTAGTTTTGTTGACGCTGCAGCCATGTCGTGAAGACGCTGTGTGCTTCGTTGTGAAAGCGAAACTACTTTGTTTGGTCTTCCAAAAGAAGACGATATCCGCTTCGTCATGCATAGAGCTGATCTGTGCTGGTCGCTGAGGGAATACATCAACTTTCACCGTGGATGAAGCGGAATCCAGCCCGGGTGTCCGTCACATGTGGTTGCCGCTCATTCGTCGGATCCTAACCCGCCGCCTCAGCTCACGCTAAGCTGGGGCTTCCGCTCACGCTAGCCCGGCCTCAGCTCACTCTATCCTGGCCTCAGCGCACGCTAAGCCGGGGCTTCCCCTCACGCTAGGCCGCTGTGTTTTTCGTTGTGAAAGCGAAACTACTGTTTGGTCTTCCAAAAGAGGACGGTATTTGCAACACTGTGCCAAGACATATTTACCCCAAT